AACAACCTGCCTCCGTGTTTTCCGTCTGTCACCCGCGTGCACGTCTATAAGATTCGGCTTTTATGACACAAAAGACTTTTTTTCTTGCGGCTTATGTCTGTCTGCATGGCAATTCAAAGAACCCCGCTTCGCTTCACTTTCTTGAGCAGTGCAAATTGAAAAGGAGTTGAAGATGCAACCACTTAGGGTGCTTGCAAAGTGTCGAGAAAAAAAAATACTTGAGGCCAATGAAAATAATTAGCTTTAACTTAAAGGCCCACACATGCGTTCTTCTCTTTTGGAGCAGTGCGGAGGAGCCGCCGCGCTTCTCAGTTATAGCCTCCAGCGTAAAGGGACTTTTTATTTATGTATTATTTTTTTTTATTTGCCGACATAACGCTCTGCTGTTAAAGATTTTACCAGGCAACAGTCAAATAAGAGCGATACCGGCATTTTTTTTTAATTTTATTTCTTGATTTTTTTTTTTTTTTTTTAACAATACATATTAACTCACAGTATATAGTCTCAACAGATTTTTTTTTTCATGATATATCGCAGATTATAATATAGGATTGTACGGTTTTATATTGCGACACGCAAAAGGAATTCCATTCAACTCAATGTCTCGATGGATAAAAAATTGACAGCATTGAGGCGACGCCCCTTGAAATGAAAAACAAGCAAATAAGAGACAGAAAGTCAACTTTCAAATCTGTAGTCTGGACTCAAATGGTTATTGAGAAGAGATTGGAGTTAAATTGTAGCATACATGTCCAGTCAACCAAATGGAGACATTTTTGTCTTTCTTCTCCTCCAGCTACACACTATCCCCTCAATAAAAAAAAAAAAAGATGTTTTATTACTCCATTTAAAAACGAACTAAATAAAAGTGTCTCACCAAAAGTGTCCTTCAAACAACCGCCACTTATTTTTTTACAGAGTAGGGAGAAATCACAAAACATTCAGGACCTTGTCGTTAATTTGCTGTCACAAAGTGCTGATAACCTTGGGTTTGGAACAAAATATTTTGACGACGGCCCCGACTTGAAGGCGTTCATTCCCATTAATTAATTCCAGGAAGAAAAAAATATGCTGAAAAAAAATCGAACACATTTAATCAGAGTTTTATTTCTGCTTTCCAGGAAGCACGGGACTCTTCCCAGTGCCCCATTTCTGAAAAATGCAGATCAGACTCTGAGAACACCGGCAGAGCAGAATAATGACGAATACTTACCAACTAAAATGAGGCCCACGACTCCCACCACAAATTTTGACCCAACGACTGAAAACGGACTCAGAGTTTATGTGAGAAGAATGACGAGCGAACAATGAAATGCATTGCAATACAATTGCACCACATTGTAATTCTCCAATGCTTTATTTTGTGGATTTGTACAAGAACTAATTTCGTCCTTTCTTGGCCCTTGTGCCACCCTGCTGCAATGTTTCGTAGAATTCCTCTTTGCGCAATTCTGCGAGTTACGCTTGCAGCAATTTGCACTTGGCGGAGAGCTGACAATGTGTACTCGACATTAAGCGATGACTGCATCAAGCCTGATGTGCAATTTTCCGTAGATCAGCAGTCCCCATTTTTTGCACCGTGGTTTGACTGGTCGGCATAGAAACAAATAAAAAACAAATGAGTCATAATACTTAGTTTGCGGCCAACAGTGTTTTTTTTTTTTTTAAAGTACTACAGTATTTGAATGTCTAAATGAACCAACAAAACGTCCACAGGATCGCCAGACCTGAGCTATCACACTGCCCCACTTCTAAGGAGGAACCTACCTAGTGGGTGCGATGTCGGTTCCCATTGAACTGTCACTGGTAGAAAAAAAAAATCTCTACAGGCCAATTATTCAATGGAGCATTGTCCATATCTTTTTTTTTTTTTTTTTTTACATTGTTACAACCTCTGTCACGTTGCCTCGGAAAAGGCTGAGAAGCGTCTTGAGATGCAGACTTTACATTATTCAATAAACATTCCGTTCCGTTGGCATCAGTCTCCCGCCCTCACTCGCTCTTTTCGCATGCACGCCGCCACCGTCCATGGCCGAGGGAGTCAAGTCCCCCCTGATGAGTTGTTGACAAGAAAAAGAGAGCGGTCGCTTCCAGACGTCGGCAGCCTGAATGTATATTCAGAAATTTGCACTTTTCTCATTATAAAACTGTGTCAGCTGAATGAGCAAACACCTGCCAGGGTTCTATACGGATACATGCGCTCCCCGGAGAGATGAAGGCGGGCGGACGGGACGGCGGGGATGAGAGGAAAGGGCAAGGGGAGGAAAAGGTTGTTGGATGAATGTGCAAACATGATGGCTTGAAAGTGAGTGAATTTAAGACTACAAGCTGTTTGCTTATGCATGCACGCTATCCGGCTAAAGCAATCCTAATATACCAATACAATTGTCTACTATATTCACTCACACACACACGCACGCACGCACGCACGCACACACACACACACACACACACACACACACACACACACACACAGTTGTTGTTTTTTTTACGCATCTGCTGCTTTTAATGGTGCCTGGTTGATGTGCAGCCAATGTTGGGAGAGAGAAGGAAAAAAAAAAAAAGCTTTCTCTGCTCGCTTCCACTCCGTCGTTTTCCACTTTTGGCCACAAACAAAAGAGAAATGATTGCCTGTTTTCTAGTCTGGTTCACAATCTAAGTGTTGTGAATTTGGAGGATCACTGGACAGTGTGGTGGTCTGGATGTCATCGTGCATGAGAGGATAATAGCCATCGCAATGGAGCAGCCATCATTATTTTGGGCAGCCAACCACAAGATCAAGCCCCATACTGTTGTGTGTGTGTGTGTGTGTGTGTGTGTGTGTGTGTGTGTGTGTGTTTTGTGTTTTAAAGGCCTTGTCTGTTGGAGCTTTGACAGCCCGTGAACGCACAACAAAGCACTGTCACACAATACCCTGTGTGGGACTCCGCTCGAGGTGGAGGGTGGGGGGGGGGGGTGTAGTGGTTTTAACAGGGAAGTATTGTGGAAAAACACAAACTGCAGATCAGTGTTTTGTACGCATCCGGTACATCCCAAAAACAGAGGGCCCTCTAATGTTCAACACAGTTATTTTCAGAATGCTGTTTGGATTCACAGTACCATCAAAATGTGTGGAAACAGCTTGGAATTCGGGGATTCATTAAAATTTCCTGCATATCAATCAATACCGAAGTCACCAATGTCCTGTTGATGACCCATTATTGCTAGACAAAATGTGTTACTCAAAACAGAGTGTCCATGACAATTTTAGAGATGCGTCGAGTTGACACCTTTCGAAGCGGTTGAATTTCGGTCAGTGTATCGCCGTGTATTCACAGCACACCGCCCTTTTGTGTCGGTGATTTATCAGCGGTGCTGAACATCCGCCGCAAAGATAGAAATGCCACTTCTGATGCTAAAAGTAAACAAGACATCTCTGACCTTCTCGCACAGCTTCTTGCTAACAAGAAAACTTTTTTTTTCTTTTTTTTTCTCACACTGATCAGCTCCGTTCCGTCGCCGCCGTATGCGGACTGTGGATTTGTGTTTGAGGCTTTTCTCGCTATTTAATGTCAGGTCTGCACTCATCCACAGAAAAAAACCCAACATATTATTATCACACTGCGCATACGTGGATTGTTAAAATTACCTTTTCCAAGTCAAAGGGACATAAAAGTCAAATTAAAACATCATCTATTCACTTCTATGATGTGTCATTAGCGTCAACCACAGGTAAAATGCGAACAGAGAATGCTAATGCTAACTCAGTTACATTTTGCGCTCCTATTGTAACATTGACTGTGGGCTACTAAACTTGAAATGATTAAATGTTTCAAAAAGGTTGTTTTTGTACTTTCAGTCTGGCGCAGTGCAGTCAGCGAAAGCGATCTGAGCCGACCGCACGTGTTAATGATGATGTGGCTGCCCGTTGTGAATGAGTCTTGACTATATCACACGTCAAAAGATGTGATGAACGGGACGAGTCGTCGTTTATCTAATGAACCAAATGCCGCCTAAAGTACGATGGCAAAAAGAGGCCCAAATGTAGAACTAATTCAAGCAAACGATGCTTTTCTGATGTTTCTAAATGTAGCCCGATCCGCCCTCACGAGCAAAAGTGATCCTGCTGCTTTTTTGGCATGACAACTAACCACATTTATGTGCCTGTAAGCGCCGAACAAAACACATCGGCGGCACTGCGAGCTTAATTAAATGACTAAACCATAAAGTGAATGATCTGGATCTGGAGCATTGACGATATTTTCTGCACAGCTTAAGCTGGTCAGTGTCACAGAGGAGCCGGAGCCTATTCCAGCTAGGTTAACCACTACACTACGAATGCGCTACGAGTAAGCACAAATGCGAAATGGCGTTGGGGGTGGGCATAATTGAACTTCTTGTGATGGAATTCATTCCAGCATGTATGACTGTCTAACATTGATTTTCACAGTGAGAAGCCAATACGAGCTAAAACGTGCAGTGTTTCATTTTTTGTTGTTGTTGGGGGTTTTTCTCCCCCCCCAACCAAGGTGTGTATTTCACACTTGCGCTGATCCAGGTCATTTTTGAAGTCCTGTATGTTGACGAGTTGAAAAGATCATCCAACAAACTGTCTAATTTCAGCCAATCCATTTCAGTTCCCTCATGTTGCCAAAGTTTCATTAGGGCTCTTTCACAGCCTCTTATTGCTCTATTGATTTCCATTGATGTCTTTTGGAGGATGGCATCTTCATATAAGTAAAAGTCTGTGCAAAGAGGTCGGCAAGACGGTGTACAACTTTCCTTGCCTGCAGTTTTGTGCTCACGTTTGATTAGATTTTAGAATATGTACAGAACTGTGCATAAATTTTAGGCCACATCTAATTACCCATTTGAGTTTTGCTGGGGTTGTAATGGCCCGCATTGCAAAACCGAGGTTGAAGTTGTGCTTTCATTGTATTTTGGGTCCACTGTCAGTCCTCAACTGAAATGACGATAACACAAGATGGAGTAACCGTGTCTCTTTTTGTGTCTGCGTCCAGCTTTGAGGGACAACAGGATCGAGCTGATCCGCGCTTCGTGGTCGGAGTTGACCATCAGCATCCATGATGTCACGCTGTCTGACGAGGGGATGTACACCTGTTCTCTTTTTACCATGCCCGTCAAAACCGCCAAAGCCTACCTGACAGTCCTTGGTGAGTTCAAGCTCATCCTTACATTCTCTGGATTTTTTTTCACAAAAAAATGTCAGCAACAAAAATATTTATTAAATAATTGTTTTTATGCATTCAATATATTTAAAACAAGACATGTTTATACGCTAGCATAGCCTAAAAGTGACAAAATGTATGCTTACTGTCTGGTTACGTATAATATAAAGATTTTGGCTGTCTGCATTTTTTGTTGTTGTTGTGGTTGAATGTAGAAACGTATTCAAATCACTGGTTTTATGGAGTAATTTTGAGGTAACGCCGTCTTTTGCACCAATTTAAAAAATACCAGTAACATTATCTAGAGTAGGAATGGACAAGTGTGACCCATTCCATCTTTGAGTTCGGTCAATTGAGCATTGACATTTTCAAGAGTCCTTTTATTGAACAACACAAAAATGTCCAAATATTAGCTCTCGCGATGTTTGACAAAACATCAACGCAAGAGGATGTTTGTCAGAACAACCAACCATGAGCCTGGAAAAGAAATCAATGGTATTTACCCTGACTTGCAAACAAGCCTGATGTCATCCTTGTTGATTGGCAGGTGGAGCAAAATGCATAACCCTACAAAATGCAAATGTTGTTTGTAAAAATTCAAGTTCAAAACTAAACGCTCTGTAATGACCGAAACCGTTTGTTTGGCTTTGACACTTCCTGCCTGTGTTTGTTTTGCTAATAGGACAAACACATTTAGTATGCCTAAAAATGGGATGCGCACTTCCCTACCACCCCCCCCCCACACACACACACACACACACACAAACAAACACGCCACACCATTTTACTAATGTTTGTGATCATCGTCCTGCACAAACATTGTCTCATTTCTCGCCACTCGCCTTATTATCTCGCCAATTAGTTTTTGCTAATGTTAATAGATGTGCTTGTGCACTCCAGGCCCATTAGCTGTCTCTCTTTGTTAACAAGCATTCCGAGAATTACGGAAATTAAATAGGATTGCTCAGTGGGGATACAGAGCAAAATATTTATTTATTTATTTTGGGGGGGCCACACTGAGCAATAGTTAATGGTGCACACCGATGTTTTAGGACAGTGGGTGGATGTGGGAAAAAAAAAAAACAAAACACCACTTCAAATGACTGAGGTCAGGGTGAACAGAAAATAGTTCAATCTGGTTTAAGTGAGGATTTACGCATCAGTTTTAGAATCTGATTGTGTTTGAATGTTTGTTCAGGTTTTTGAGACATTGATGCTCTTTCTTGGCCTGTTTGCATGCAAGGCTAAGCGTTTGGTTCAACGTTAGCATGTATAATTGTTTTTACGTTGTCTTCATTTTATCTCAAACCTCAACTGCTGAAAAGCAAACACGTTATTTACGCCTTTTTGAAGAGCTTTTTGAGAGCTGCCAAACTGCAGACCGCATGCTCAGAGGACAGAATACGTTGGTATCGAGTGTTGTAGTATCGGAGCGATTTCTATGGTTACAGACCCATGCGTAGAAACAAAGATTTCACATGTGCAACCTCTAAGGTCAAACCCAATTTATTTTTCCCAGGACACAAATTGAACTCCTTACAATTGAGAATGGAAAAATAATCTGTCCTAGCGTTAAATTTGTATCATCACACTGTTGCGTTTGACGCGCCACACCGTATTGTGAATCTAAGAAGTAAATTCCAGAAGAGAAGCTCACAAAACAAAGAGCAACTCTCAAGGACGATAGCAGCCTATAAGAAGCCTATAGATGAGACAGGCAAGGCCAGACTGACTCAGTGTTACTGACTGACACCGCTTTCAATCTCTGTGCTTCAGGCTGACAAAGGGAGATGCACTCAAAGCAGTCAGTACAGTCGGAAAGAGGTGCATTAAAGCTAGTGGTGGGACTGACAACCTATAAGTATAAACTATATATCAAATATGTCACAATATATCATTATATTTGACACCATGAGGTAGTGTACACCCATGACTGACTGCCAGTCAATCACAAGGCGACTTACAAAAAAAAAAATCTTTTTTCAGGCTTCAACGACTACATTGTGGCCAATTAAATTGAAACATGTTTAACGCCATGCATTCCAGAGCCACCTGCGCTAGGTGAAATTCGGCGGTGTAGCGAGAGCAGATCAGAAAACATGTTTTTACACTTCCCACATACTTTTAAAGTATATTTTGCCACCTGTTCTCACTCTCTTCCTCACAAGTCGACTCGCTTCAAGCTGTTTCGTTGCCACTCCCAGTGGAAGTTTTCCGTAAAGATGAGTTCATTTGGGTATTTAAACGCCAAAATGTTCAACCAAACGTTGTCATTGTATTTCAATGTTGTTTCAATACATTTTATTTGTGTTTAAATTGTAATTGTCGAATGAATGCCAGCTAGCTCAATGCTAATACATGTTGTGAAACGCCATAGACAGGCTAGATCAAATTAGCATGGATTGTAACAATAAGCATTTAAATAAATTCTACTTTGATGCACACGGAGCAGCAACACGACAAAGACATTTGTTATCTCTGCTCTGTGGAAACGACTATTCAACTGGCAAAATGTGGCGCTGCGTGACACTAAAAGGGGCATTGTCCTCTTGCTGTTATTTATGCCGCATCTCATCCGGCCGACCTCAGTGCTGCACGATGAATGCGATGCTCCACCGAGGGCACCCGCCTCGAAATAAAAATAAATAAATAAATAATAGATAAATAAAGAAAGGATTGCTTTTAAAAAATGTCCTCATCTTTAACCATGGGCGCTCCCTCCCCGATTCCCCACTCGCATTGCTTTTCAGCACTGGCGCTTGTATCGACAGCTCACAGAAAACAAACCGGACTTGATGTACAGTGTCTCAAGGCATGATTGTGTTTATTCCTTCATGAGGTCAGAGCGCTGTGTGTGATTTCATCTCCATCCTTCAGGCGTGCCGGAGAAGCCAGAGATCGAGGGCCTGATGAAGCCCGCCTTGGAGGGCGATCACATCACTCTGACCTGCATGACTCACGGCAGCAAACCTGCCGCCGACTTGCGCTGGTTCCGAAATGAAAAGGAGGTCAAAGGTAGGCAACTTTTCTGCAGCTACATGTCCAGCCATCTCGATTTCTTTTTCATTTGAGAGCATTTTATACTACCGGTATACAGTTTATGAAAGCACTACGTAAAGGTGGGTTGTCGAAGAAACCTTACAAAGGCTTCTATTAAATATTCCAAAATAGCACGTAATCCTTTAAGAATGGGGGGAAAAAATGTTGCAAACCCATTTTTCTTTGGAAATTGTTTACGATTTTACAATCGGTGTTTTGCATTTCAACAGAGATCGAAGTAAGTAGAGCCGCAAACGATCATTCAGTGGTGCTTCAATGTGTATAAAGCATGTGGGTGGGGTCAAAGCATTTTTGAGGGACTCTATTTTGCCAATTTGAACCTCGTGTGGGTCATTCTGGAATGTATTCACCACCATTACCGGGAAAAAAAGTTGGGATATAATAGAGTCTATATTGGCCTCGTGAATAAAATGTCTTAAATTTGACCGGAGTGGCTGAAAAGTGGTCATGAATTTGGCTTATTTTACCTTTCACCCATTGTGCGTATTTTTAAATTGTATTCTTAATTTTACTTGAGAAAAGTCATTCTCATCTGGTGTTTGTCTGGATCCAAAAGTGGGTCCTGGTATGGTCGGTCGTGGACAGAGAAGTTAAAAAAAAAAAAAGGTAATGTTGGCATTATATAAAGATGACATTTTACTTTATTGTTCTTCACTTCTAGAAAGTGGGTCGCCGACTTTGCAGCGATAGGAAAATGCGTGTCCCTGGATTACAATAGTTGAGCACCACTGCTTTCAGAATGCATGCGTAGAGTAAAATCCTCAGTGTGAAGCACTGGAAATAAACTGTCATTATGGGACTCTGGTACACTTTGCGGGGGCTTTATCGCATCTCAGGTGTGCTTTCGGGGGCTTTATGCCAGCTCGGGGATGCTTCGTGGGGGCTTGGCCTCTACTGGCACATAAGGCGAACCCTGAATATTATATTGTGTATTTCCATACAAGTTATTGTTTGTCGCCGAATGAAAATGAAAGCATGTCATAATTTGTTGGGTTTTTTTTCCACCACTCACTCATAATTGCATCTTGACACAGTGATCATGGGAGTCATTGTCCTGATTTCTAGTTCTGTTGTGACAGAGTAAATTCATCCGAGTATGTATATGAAGTGACGAAATGAAGTCTTTGAGTTGGACCGAATCTCGATCCAAATGACACTTTGGTTGCCGCGTTCAGCGGCCGCGGCGGTTTCGATCCAAATGTCTTTTCTCATCCCACGTAACGACACTTTGGTTGCCGCGTTCAGCGGCCGCGGCGGTTGTCGCTTCTTATCACAGTCAAGCGCAGATGTACGTCATGCGCACCCTCGAGAGGGTTTGCCCCGTTTTTCCGACGTGTCAAAACAATGCCGCCCGCACGTTGTAGACGATGAGGCCGTTGGTAGTCGGTTGCCACGAGAGATCTTTGTCTCCCTGCCGCTGTCTGCCACTTTGGTGTTTCTTCGCCCCTCCAGCTTCGGCTTAGCCTGCCGCCTCGACCGCGGGCCTCCCAGGGTTCAGATAAGCAAGGAGATTGCATCAGATCAATGTTGGCTTCCAGCAAACGTCATTACGCATTTCCATTCAATTAAACAGCCTGGCCTGGAAACAAACATCGTCGGTAACCTTAATGCTCATTTAAATTAGCGTTGTTATTGATAATTCAGTCGGATTTCATATAAAAAATAGGATGACGGCCATTTTTTTTTTTTTTTATCGTGGCAAAAGCATTTTAAATGAAAAAAAAAAGGGCTAAATTATTTTTTTATTATGTTCTTGAATTTTGAATTCTCTGACAATGTTACAGGTATAATAAATCATATTAAGTAAATATGAAGCACAACCCGTCATGATAACAAACTGTCAGGTTCTTGACAGCGATTTCTGTTTACGCTTTGTCTTTTTTTTCTATAAATAAACCTTGTTGCATTGTCATTTGTCTGAATCTGCCTTTGTGGGATCTGCATCCCATCTAGTTCGTTGCGCCACCCTGTCACGGGAAAAGGCAAGTATCTATTTGAGAAAGGGGGGACTCTGGTTTATTTGAAGGAGAGGCATGATTTGAGAAAAACATTTGCATTCACTTTTCGAACCTGCGTTTGGTGATTTCAACGTTCCCAACTCAGCAAAAAAAGGAAATCCCAATTTAAAAAAAAAAATGGAAACACATCCAGGGTCATCATTTCCTCTTAAATTACCACCAAAGGTTAACAAATGCAGAGACACTCTCTGAAATCTTCTCGGTGCTTCGCAAAGAAGGTCAGAAGCTATTATCTATTGCTGTAATGTTGCACGTGAGCATCATTTCTCCTCGATCTTCTTCAAACTATTTTGTATTAATATATTCTAGTTCGCGACAACCGTCGCCTCGCCTGTGTGTGAATGTGTCATCTGCTGCCTTCGCGACCCGCGCCAAAACACTTTTTCAAAGCTTTCAAAACAGGAGGCCGTTTTCATTAGGAGAACAAAAACAGGCGCATCCGTATCTTGTAGGCGTTTTTTGTCCTGGTAAAATAAATTGCCCCCCCCCCACCCCCCTTCCCAACAGAGAGCACCTTGAGACTTCATACAAACGTCAGATTAGAAGATTGCTGTCGGCTCCGCTATTGGACTCGTCAAATTCGATCGGGGTGATGTTTCAGCCCACGTTGGGCGTCTGCCATCACACCGCCTCTCTCGCCGAGCTTAAGCTGCGACAGCTCAGCCCCGCTATCTGGCAGCCGGGGCTTCCCGGGGTCTAGATAAGCCGGCAGATAGGATCAAATCAATGCTTGTTTTCTGCACAGTTTTTAGCAAACAGCACCGCATATTTCCTTTTAATGACTTATGTTCAGGAGATGATATTGACTCTGTTTGGTCTCCTTTTCACTTAGAGCGCAGCCTCTACGATGTCATACAGTACTTGTTATATCATTGGAATTCAAATGAAAATTTTAAGACCAGAGAACAAATCATTTTAAAAAATGTCGAAAGGGGAAAAAACCTTTGAGGTTCCGCTGTGTTGACGAGATGCAACATAAATAAGTCATTCCAAACTCTCGCCCTATTTTTTTTTCTACACAGTGGAATAAAACATTGATTTCCACATTTGCCGCTTTCCCCCACTAATATATTAGTTTTAAGCGGCGCCGCATGAGATTTGACTTCTCGCTGTTGCATCTTTGTCATACCATGAATGACACTTCTTCAGCAAATAGTTTTTACCGCTAGCTACGCAGGCGTTAATTATTGATCGGACACCGACAGTCAAGACTGCGTGAGAGATAGCAATACCTGTGCAAATAAATGTTTACATTTAAACGTGACGAGTAAAACCGGCAGAGCCAATAGGACGGTAGATTATTCTTCCGCCATTGAATACGATGACCTTCAATGGAGCCGCGTTGAAAATGACAAAATACATAAACATGAAAGATCATCAATGATTAATATACAGTCACAATGAACATTCTCGATGGATATTTGTCCACTCGGAGCGGGGGTGGGAGAGGGGGTGTGTTCATCACGGTGACAAGTGGGACGTGTTCACTGTGCGAAGTCACCTGATGGCAGGAATATCGTAAATGACAATTCTGACATATTGTTGTGGGATCTTTGGGAATAGCAACGATTCTATTAGCAACACGGCCAGCGGAGCAGTCCATCACCCAGTGGCATTCATTTACTAGACAGCCTATGCTAAGTGTATGCCTTTGTGTGTACGTGTGTCCACCAACACAATAGACAGATTGAGCAGATAGTCTGCATGTGACGTTTGTGTGCGCCGCGGCGCAAAAATCCAATATTCCGATTTCGCCCTCTTCTTTGTCCCTTCAGTCCCCAACAAGTAATGATATATTTCTATCTCAGTTATACACCAAGACCCAGAGAGACCCGTACCCGTTCCAGTGCAATGTAGCACTTGTTTACACACCAGTGAACTGGGGGAGTGCACATGAAATGAATATTTATTCCAAATAGGGGCGGCGATGTTGGCAATCGGATGAGTATTATCATACCGCGTGACCTGAACAGTGGAGGTTATTGCTTGGTGGCGATATGTGATAGCTCTATTCCTACGGGGGGCTCGGAGGAGAAAAACAGATTTGATTTCAAACCGCTCGCAGTCACATCGTTGTTCTATTGTCAAAGTTGTTCGTCAAGGACAAAGTGCTGCGGTGGTTGCCTCGTGCCAGCTTTGCTCGCTTTTTCGGGGCGCAGTAATGGCTGCGTAACCTTTTAGAAATCGTCGCGACTAGTCATTGTCCTTGAGTGGGTAGTCGCGTCAATGACGACTAGACGGTTAGTGACATCGATTTTTTTCGAGCTTCGAAAAGAAATAAATAAAATAGGTTTTCATCAGCGTCGCACGCCTCGGTGTCTGGACTACATTTGTAGCGGCAAGAACCCACAGAGTGAGGTGGAGTGGATCAATGACCATTAAAGATGTAATTCCGAGATGGCTCTTGCAAGCCACGCCGGCATGAATAAAAGATGCGTGGGCACAAAAGCATCCATTTCACCTGTAAATCACAGAGCTTTACTATTACCATGGTTCAGTACATTAATTGAAATCAAGGCAGCGGTAAAACTGGAGTTTAGTGCTGTTTTACCGAATACACGGCAGCATCTTGCAGCTTGCATCGTGTTGATTACCGGAATTGCAGCTCGCTCAGAAATGCTAAAGAGATGAGTTATAATGCAGGCTAATACTTCACAGCGTATCGCTTGCACTTCTGAGATACAATGCCAATATTTCCACTTGGGGCTGTTAGCAAAACGGGGAATGAAACCAGAGAAATGTGATTGGATGAAAAGTAGACCAGGCCGTGGTCGGCACTTTATTGCTTTTCCTTCTGTGATCTCATTATTGAGCGTCCTGCTGGAAAAAAAAAAAAGTCCAATGTTCCGAACTGAGAAGTCTTTTACCTAAATATAATGAAATAAGATGAAAGTATTTCTTAACATTTGAATCTAGAGCGGAAGCTCAGAGGGCCAACAAAATCCGTTCTGGATGCGATTTGACATTTTCCCTTTCAGAAGTGACGGAAATTTAAATAATCTTACCAGGGTCAAACTGTTGCCAGTTTAAAGCCTTTGTTAATTGTGTTAACATTTTAACTTTTTAGACTCTTCCTTGGCTTTTCCTCTTGTTGTATTTACTTAGCGTACAAACCGGCAGGAAAAATGCACCAGGCTACTTCCTGTTTGGTAGCTTAGCAACCAGTCCACAAACAAAAAGCGCATCTGTCATCCTGAGCCAATGGGCAACTACAATATTGAGCTCTTTGTTCTATTTTTAAATCTCTTCAGAATGTGCACTCTTCGATTTGTATCGGCTGAATCGTCGTCGCCCTGTGTTGGATGCGATTCCAAGTGCTGTTGGTGTGTGACACTCACAACTGATTGACACAGTGTCTAAAGAACAGGGAAAGAGACTGTGACCCCTCCGGTCTCATCCCATTCAGATCAACATAGTGGAGGTGGACAGCCTGCCAAGGTGCCGATACCCACCGGACTCGCAGGTCTCTTTTTGACAGCGTTGTCGTCACGAAGACACTTCTCGGCCAGTGAATGTTTGGGGACTTGTGTCAGAGAGGACATGGTGGTTTACACCTGCCAGGCGCTGATACAAGTGTCTTACTTTTAAGAGTGTTCCCTCGACGGTGGTCAGTGAAAACAGAGTCAAGCATGTCAGACCAGTCGGCGGACAACGTCCAAAGCGAGTGAGTTCATTGTGACATGCAAAAAATGTCTCGCCCTCATGCCAGGGGCTCTTAAGGTTCGTCTTTGCCAGTAGACAGTATGCATTACTTTGTTTTCACGAGTGCCATATGGCGTGCGAACATTTGAGGATGCCTGAAGGCTAAGCAAGGCAAGGCAGCTCAATTTATTTTGCGCATATCATGCACAAGGTAACTCAATGTGCGTCACACAATTGAAAAGTGCAACATTTAAAAGCATTTACAAACAAAAGAGATTTATATTGCGCATATCATGCACAAGGTAACTCAATGTGCTTCACACAATTGAAAGTGCAACATTTAAAAGCATTTACAAACAAAAGAGTTCAACATTTCAAAGCAAAATAAAGAAATAAAAGCTAAACTAAAATTACCGATAAAAGAAGGTTTTGAAAAATGTGATTTTAAAAATGCTTTCAACAAGTCATCCCTGGGCCTCCTGCTGCTGCAATCAGTCAGAGGGCTGTGAGTGATGCTCCTCCCCCATCTCGGCAATCTTGGCGCACATTTCATGTCAGCTCCTTTGCCTTTCTCGCTTCTTCTTTAAAATGCCCTGAATAGAATCCTGTTCTCATAGTTTAGCAGGTGTCATATCCATTTTTGGCCCTCTGCCCTGAAAACGCCCGCAAGCTCAATGTAGTGGTGGGTTGCACGAATCACTACTGTCAAGCTTTAGCGGAAGGAAAGGATGGCATGTCGTGATGCACAATTGCGCAACTGCTATCATTAAACCTAGGTATGCAAAATGGACACGTTTAATACCTTGTTAAATCTGCCATTCTGCTGGGCTAAATTCAGAGACTGATTTTTTTTCATGAATCTAACAAGCAAAACAGATTTGCATTCTACTTTGTTTTTCGTGGCTAATTCCATTTTATTTTAGGTCTCACAGAACAAACTCTTACGGCTTACTCGGTTTGAGGCTAATTAGCACAAACAATGCCGCACGCCGTGCAAGAGATTCGGAGACAAAGAATTCCGCAAGGAAGAAGACAAGGTTGAAGTGATTTTTCGTCATTGGAGCAAATCAAAGCTTTTAATTTGTGAATGGGGAAAGCAAACACAGTTTCAAATCCTCCTCCACAGACTAGTAACCTTCTTTTTAATAGAGTAAAAATATTTTTATTTGTGAAAAATCCAAAAAAGTCCTCCAGCGCTCCAATCAGTTACATCTGCGGCCATATTTTTACCTTTTTTTACGGAATGTGTGTTTACCAGTAACACCTTACTGCCCTTGGCTCCATGATGTTGGGAAATGCACTCATTTTATTATTTGATCAATATCACCGTAACAGATTTATGTCGAGGCTTATTTTGTTTTGTTGGGAGGAAAAAGTGCAGGGGGACAAAATGTTATAAATCCTTCACTTCCTCAGTTATGGCTGGCAATTAATTTTTGGGGCAACAGTATGAGATCCTGAAGGATAAAGCAAAGGAAATAGATTTTTTTTTTCAATATCAGAATCATGCAGGAGCAATTTGATTCGTGCAAACCCAAAAAAAAGATATTGTAAAATGTAACTTTTTTTTTTTTGTTTATCCATCCAGCCATCCAATTTTTCGACTGCCAGGTTGCAGGTGAGCTGGGGCCTTTCACCGATTGTCGTGGGGCGAGAGGCGGGGAAAATCTTGGCCCGGTCGTCAGGCAATCGCAAAGCGCATATTGACAAACATCCGTCAGTACAAGTTAGAGTTTTCTATGAGATCCTGAAGGATAAAGCAAAGGAAATGGATTTTTTTTCAATATCATAATCATGCAGGAGCAATTTGATTCGTGCAAACACAAAAAAAAAGACATTGTAAAATGTAACTTTTTTTTTTTTTTGTTAATCTATCCAGCCATTCAATTTTTCGACTGCCAGGTTGCAGGTGAGCTGGGGCCTTTCCCCGATTGTCGTGGGGCGAGAGACGGGGAAAATATTGGCCCGGTCGTCAGGCAATCGCAAAGCGCATATTGACAAACATCCGTCAGTAGAAGTTAGAGTTTTCACTCAAACTAACATCGACCGACATGTATTTGGAAAGCGGAAGGGAGCTGGAAGCTGAACCCGAACGTCAGCATGAAGAGACAGATGTGCAAACCACATGTCCCGCGTGCTGCCATGATAAATTATTTCAGCATAAATGTCATGATGTTCAGTTTTAATACATTTATTTTCGGTTGTCGTTTGCGGTCCTGTTGATAAAATTGCAGCCTATATTGCTGCAGTCTTTATTCGGTGTCTCCTTAATCTCATTAAATTGTGCAAGGGTACCTAATGTTGTGACCTGTATGCCAGTAGTATTATCTATTCATTTATTTTCCAGTTTTCAAGTTTATCTTTTCATCCAGCCGTTTTTTGTTTTTTTTTTTCCTGTTTTCACCACCTCTGTGGAAGGATGCTGCCAACGCTGCAGAGCTGTCAGTCATTCCTCTCAAGTGGGAGGCCAGCTCATTGGCTCGGTTTAGGGAAGTGACGGAACACAATTGTTGATTGACAGGGCGGATGAGAGGAAGAGAGCGAGAGAGGTGTGAGGCATGGGAGTCTGGTGGGATGATTTGGAAAGTGGAGCAGATGAGCACACAGTAGGGAAGCATGGGGAGAATAAACAGTGTCTTTAGGAGAAGCAAACAAAAGGTGTCCTGCACGAGGGAGGCTGGTGCTCCCTTGACTGTGCTCGGAATACACAAGTAGCACACATTTTTTTTCCCTAGGGGAGGGGGGGAGGGGGG